CAATAATTTATGTATGCGCGCTCCTGTGTGCATGCTACGACATACTTATGGAAATCAGATGGCAACTGGGTGATAACACTCTTTCCTTCCATCCTGTGGATTCCGGGGATCAGACTCAGGTCGTCAAGAACGATTACGTGCCGCTGAGCCATCTTGTCTGCTCAGAGTAGGCATTTTTAATCCCCATTTTATAGACGAGTAAACTAAGTTTCGGAGCAGTTACTGGCAGCTCGTGGCAGAGCTGAAGCTAGGATGGTTTCTAAATTCTCCACCCAGCGCTGGAGCAAAAACCGCGAAACAGCGCACAGACTTAAAAGAAATCGACCGTCACTACAACCACGAAAGAGAAGCGGACCATTAGGGGCCAGGCGCAGAAACCGGAAGGTGTCACCGGAAATCGGAGCTCAGCTTCCGGCTGTGCGCAGGAAGTGACTCTTCAGCGTGTCGCCAGCTTATAACGTAGACGTGCAGTAGAGGTTGAGCCCCACTCGCGCACGAGGTAGTCAGCTCCTGCTTTCAGCGCCTGCAGTGAAGATGTCCCACCCATCCCCAGCAGCCAAGCCCTCCAATTCCAAGAACCCGCGAGTCTTCTTTGACGTGGACATCGGCGGGGAGCGAGGTGAGCGGCGCGGACGGCTCAGCCGTTCCCGCGCTTGGGGCCTCCCTGCTGCGGTTCTTCTTGGCCGCTGGCTGTTCGGCGGCTCGGGGCCTGGGATCCGGGGGGAGATAGCAGCCTAGACCCCCACCTGGAGCAAGACCTGGAGTCCAGGAGTCCAGATTGAGCCCTCTCCCTTGTAGGCGATAGCCGTAGTTCCAGTGGAAGTTTCTGGAAATTTCTACTTCAGGAATCGTAGCGTCCCTTAGGTTTATCTCTTATCTGCTCACACTTCCCCGCAACCTTTGCCTCACCAATTACTTTTGTAATACATTTTATAATAGAATGATTTGACGAGTGTGGTGGATAGTTCGGTACGCTTTCTGGATATGTGCCTGTGGGGCTCTAGTTGATGCCATGTGCCTCTTGGTATCCGAAATATATCGGGAGCTACCAAGTCATTTACATAATTAAAGTCACGTGTTTAGTGCTTTTTCCTCATTACTGATTATAGTAGCAGTTTAGGTAGGGGATCGTTTTTGCTGTTTTGGCATCATGGAATTGATCGCCATGTCTGTTTGATTATCTAGGATTCAGAGCTAAGAAGCCCTAAGCCAGTGGCTTAACCAGTGGGTAGAGACTCCTTGGAGGGGGGTTGTTAAACGACCCTTTCACAGGGTTCATAGTGTAAATATCAGATATTTACATTATGAATCATAACAGTAGCAAAATTCCACCTATATGAGAGGGTGGAAGCGTTAAGAAGGTTGAGAAACACTGTCAATAAGCCCTCTTGTTGCTTTGTAACTGAATTGGGCTTGTTCTGAAACATATCAGAGTTGTAGGCCAGACCTGGGATGGGTACACACACCTACACATGGGCATTCCCTTTGTTTGTGACAGATTTTATTGTTAATGTCTTTTGGATTGTTGAAAAGGGAACTGTTTCAGAGGTTACAAAAGGCAGTTTCCATAGAGCACAGCGTGGCAAATGACCTTTCCTGGACTGTCTTCTGTTAGTTACTTAGCGATTAGAAATTCTGAGTACAGGGCCCCTGAGATAACTCAGCAGGTAAAGGTGCCGGCCACCAATCCTGAATGCCAAGGTTGTCCCATGATCTCCACACAGCAAACCTCAGCCTCACATATAGAATAAATTTTTTGTAAAGTCTGAATATTGTTTAAATGATGCAGGATTTTAAACCATTTGTACATTAAACCATGATGTCCTTCTTATGTAGCAAATCACCTGGATGCTGTAATTAGTTATAATCTTAAGTGTGATGTTTCAAATTTATATCTATGATGCTTTCCTTAGGCTCAATAGGACTATTAGAAAAATGACAGTGAGATGTAACAGTTTTGTGGTTGGGCCTATTTTCAAGGGAGATGAAGTTTGTATGCATATCTGAGGCACTGCAGTATTATTCACAGTAGCCAACACACAGCACTAATCTAGTGTCTATCAAAGCATGAAAACATACGTTGTGCTGTATACACAGTAGACTATAACACTGCCTTTAAAAGAAGGAAATCTTTGTAGTTGAACAGAGGATATTGTGCTGAGTGAAATAAGCCTACTATAGGATCTCACTTTGTGGACTCTTAAAAAGTTAAGTAGCATGAAAGGTACCATTGCCTGGGAGATGGACAATTTCATTTAAAGAGAGGTGAGCTCAGAAGATCTGTTACACAGCATTATGACTTCAGTTAGTAACATATATGGTTAAAAGAGAACTAAATGACTTGGGTGAGGTATTAACCACTGGTTATGTGTATTAGTTAGCTCCTTTTTGTTTATCCGTTTAGTTTCTTTGCACACTGACTAGATATCCTTTTCTTTTCCTTCAGCTGGACGAATTGTTTTAGAATTGTTTGCAGATATTGTTCCCAAAACTGCAGAAAATTTTCGTGCATTGTGTACAGGAGAAAAAGGAACTGGTGCCACAACTGGGAAACCTCTCCATTTTAAAGGATGCCCTTTCCACCGAAGTATGTATATAAACTTCTGTCCAGATATCTTGATACTTGCTCTTAGGAACGGAGTAAGAATGTTGATTTCTTGAAGGATACTTAGACAAAGTGGTAGCTCAGTGTCCTAAAAGCTTGGCCATGAGCAGTAGGATTGATTGTGGGAGTATACTAAAGTTTATCTGCTGAGGAATGGACAGCTCTGGTATCACCAGTCTTCTAACTCTCCTCTTCAAACCATTTCATTGGGAAAGAAAAAGCATGGCAGATAAATAAGCTGACCTTAGGTCATTTGACAGCCTGGGCAGAATTGTTTGAGAAGTGTTGACATTCCATGTCTGGGACACCTTGGTAACGTGTGCCCTAGTGGTCTCTAGGTTCAGTAGAGTTCAGGAGCCACATGCACTCATTTTGTTTTCTCAGCTAATGAAAGTCTAAGTAAACACAGTAAATATTTATGAATAAACAAGTAAATGACAGTGTCAGTAATTTTCCTGTATTGAAAGGGATTGAATTTAGGGCAGTTACTATACCCCTGATTTACATACTTAGTCTAGCAGTTTGATTTTCTTTAAAATACTATTTATTAAGAAAAATGAGCCGGGAGATGGTTGCACATGCCTTTAATCCTGGCACTCAGAAGGCAGAGGCAGGTGGATCTCTGAGTTCCAGGACAGCCAGGACTGTTACACAGAGAAACCTTGTTTTGAAAAAAACAAAAGGAAAAGAGAGATATGAGCACTGATTTTTTTTTTTTTTAATGTTTTAAACTTGACTGACTTTCATATTTAATGATTATAAAAATATGCTAACAAGAATATATCCAGAAAACAGTTAACATGAGAAGGGAGAAATGGTTGAACAGTTAAGAACATTTACTGCTCTTTGAAGAGGACCCAAGTTGGGTGTCCAGTATCCATGTTTGTTGGTTCACAACCACTTTTAACTGTGGCTTCAGGGAATCTGAACACCGGCCCCTGCAGGCACTGCACAACAAGGCTTTCACATACACAGACTACATATACACATAAAGAATGCTAAAACGAAAATAGTAAACTCAGTAGATTTAGCACTGCTTATAAAAGTTGGCTTAGCTATTCTTACAAAAAGCAATTGGCTAGAGTTGGGAACTAGGCACTTGAACCATTCCTTAAAGCTAAGGTTTAATGATTGGGTCTACACTGTTTTTGCAAATGTAATTGATATGAAACATCTCCTTTTTAGTCTTGAGTTTTGGAACATGTTAGGCAGAGAATACTGTTAGGATTTATATAAATTTATATATAATATTTTTTGGTGATTGGAGTCTTCCTTGGGCTTTTTTTTTTTTTTTTTTTTTTTTTTTTTTTTTTTTTTATTTTGGGAGACAGGGTTTCTTTTTTTAGCCCTGGCTGTCTTGGAACTCACTCTGTAGACCAGGCTGGCCTCGAACTCAGAAATCCGCCTGCCTCTGCCTCCCAAGTGCTGGGATTAAAGGCGTACACCACCACTGCCCAGCTTTTCCTTGGGCTTCTTGGGCAGAGTTACCACAGGCTTTTCTGCATTTTTTTGAGAAATGTAATGAGAAATATAAATTCTGTAACTTCTTGAGAGGAAGAGAGCCCATGCACATGTCTACCTCCCAACTCTGTGTTTGTCTCTTGGCTAGCTATGTGTTTATTATTGCAGTTTAGTCCAATGCTGGGTCTCATGATGGCGTGGGCAGTCTAGTCCTCATGAGTGCTCAACACTATTAGGGATATTTAGTGTTTATTTAGCAGGCTTTACTGAGTAATTAACTACATTTTTTTTTCAAGGAATAAGATGATATTTAATTCTTTTTTTGGGGAAGACAAGATTATTAAATGTAATAAAATGGAAGTAGAGGTAGCGTAATGATGGGACCTAAGTCTGCCTTCTGTGTTTCGGTAACACTGATACAGAGATACAGGGAGGTACCTGTGACTTAGTTCAGAGAAGTAATTTCTTGAGAGTTGGTGGTGGGGAGTTACTAATAAGAAATATGTTGGAGTTAAGTTGTGAGAACAAGTAGAGTTGGTGGTTTGAGGCAGGGGAGGAGGGCCAGGGCACCACAGGGATAGAGGGCCAGGGGTACTACTAAATAAAGTTGAACCTAGGAAGTTGTCTTTATTACTCATTCATTAGTTAGCACTGCTGAGATCACCTGCTTTAGTTACTAATAGTCATATTCCTTTTTTTTGCAGTTATTAAGAAATTTATGATTCAGGGTGGAGACTTCTCAAATCAGAATGGGACAGGTGGAGAAAGTATTTATGGTGAAAAATTTGAAGATGAAAATTTTCATTATAAGGTAAAGAAAAATTCTTGGTTTTGTTAACTTACTTGCTAACTTGCTTAGACTATATATTTGAAATATGCTTGGATTATGACACTAAAAAATAACTTTGGATGTGGGCACACTGCTTCCCCCCCCCCCCCCCCCCAACTAGGGCCTCTTATGTCAGACAAGTGCTTCATCCATCATTCAGCTGCCCTTTCCCATCTTCTGTTTTGAGACTGGGTCTTGCTCAGGTTAGCCTTAAACCATTCTAGCTTAGCCACGCCTTGAACTCCCAATCCCTTTTACTTACTCTCCGTAGGCACTGAGATTACAAACCTGTGTCCGCAGGCCTGGTATGGATTGTACTTTTCTCATAGAGAGCGTATTTATAAATAAGTGTTTCTAAGGGTGTGTAGTACTGGGGATGAGCTCAGGGCCTTGTGCATGCTAGGCAGTTCTCTACCACTTGAGTTACATGCTAGGTCAGTATGCATCTTTGATATGGAAAGGATTTATCCAGTAGCAGTTTGCTTTTTTGAGACAAGGTTTTACTGTGTAATTCAGTAAATTCTTGAATTTACCATCCTCCTGCATTTTGCCTCCTGAGTGCTGGAATCACAGATAAACAGCAGTTTATCCAGTTTACGCCTGGTCAGTGTTATTTTGGCAAAAATAGTGTACTTATTTCACTACAATCAGTTTTTATATGCTTCAGTTAAGCCAATGAGTTTTTAAGCTTCCATATGGCAAAATTGATCCCAGGAAAAATGTTCTCATTATTGTAAGGATGGTAACTTGTGCATCTTTATCCTTGAATTTGAAGAACAACAAAACCATCGCTAATATCCAGGATGTCAGGGGATTTTCCACCTAGCGGATATGGTTAATGTTCGGGGTGTATTGCACCATTCCCGTTTTAAGAACAGACATGTAAGTACAAAAGTAAAGTGATGTCTTTGGCAATGAGGAATATAAGCAAGGTAATTAGGGTGACTTGGAAAGAGAATTTCTATTGCTCAGTTCTGTCACTATACTGGAGAGCTTATTAAAAAAAAAAAAAAGAGACCATTTATAATCTTATCTCAGAGTCAAGATTAAAATACAAGAGGCTGTGGAGAATAATAATATATAGTTTAACACATGTAAATGCTAAGTATGACTATGATACAAGTTGAGTATCCCTTATATGAAATGCCCCATGCTAGAAATATTCCAGTGTTATTTGTATTTTGAAGTATTTGTGTAGATTTTACAGGTTGAGCTTTCCTTATTTGAAATTTGAAAGTTGTGGCTCAGAAGTCTCAGATTTTGAAACATGTCTGAGTTTGGTTTTTAGATTATGGATGTTCAACTTTTAGATTGGCACTAGCTGTGCAGACCAAGCTGGCCTTGAACTCACAGAGATCACCAGTCTCTGCCTCCTGAGTGCTGGGATTTAAAAGCACATGGGACCACACCCACCCCATGTGATAGGAGAAAGATTTATATAGTTCAAGTTAGTAGGTAGGAGAGACAATGAGGAGGTTTGAATGAACACTTAAGCTAGGCAAACTAGGCCTTCGGGTGTCTGAATTTTTGCTAGGCTGGACTAGAAATACAGATTTCAAAATGAAGTGATGGCAGCAATGGGGAAAGACAGTGGAAGGGCAAGGAAAGAAAGCCTACTGTCTAGGGACTAGTTAAAGGGAAGCTCCGGGAAAGCTGTCAGGGATGGCAGGTTCCACCACTGCACTGGTTAAAGAAAGGAGGCAAAAGGAGAAGACGACTGGCTATGGCATTGTGCACATTCAGTGACCTTGAAAGCAGAATTTCATTTAGATTGGATAGAGGTATCTTAGGTGGGAAAAGTAACGAGAGTTATGAGGCAGGCACTAGAGGGATGCCTTCAGAAAGCCTAAGCTATGCAGAGCAGAAAAGCAGAGAAACCTTGCACTTGAACAGACTGAGTGCAAGCTGTTCTTTTGTATTCATTGATTTACCTGAATGAAAGCCATAGATTGGAATTATTTTCCAAATTAGGGAAGTACTTATCTGAAATAACTTGTCTAAATTCAATATGACATTACTGTTCTCAGTTTGGTGAAAAAGAAGATCATAATGTAGGCCTATTTCTGATGGTGGGAAGACTATAGGGGTTCTCAGAAAAATAGTAACCGTCACAGAAAGAGCAAAGGTAGTTATTAGATATCCTTAGTTTTCCGTCTTCATCTTTAAAGTGTAAACATCTCTTGCAAATAGCCAGTATAGAAATGACCGCTTCTTGTGAAACTGACAATTTAAGGTGGTAGTTCTTAAAATAAAACCAGAGCAAAAGGTACTTAAACATTTATAAAAGAAATTGATGTAAAAGTAAAGTTTAGTACACCCCATCTATTTTAGGTGCAGCGTCAATAAAAGGAAATTCATACTAGGCCTCTAACTTGTTTTTCTTCGAATGATTTTTATCTCTGCAGCATGATCGAGAGGGTTTGCTGAGCATGGCAAATGCAGGCCCCAATACGAATGGTTCTCAGTTCTTTATCACAACAGTTCCAACTCCTCATTTGGATGGGAAACATGTGGTATTTGGTCAAGTAATAAAAGGACTCGGTGTGGCAAGGATGCTTGAAAATGTAGAAGTGAATGGTGAAAAACCTGCCAAAGTAAGTAAAAGTTATAGTGAAATAAATATATCAGCTTAGTTACATGTTGGAGAAATGCAGGTTACCCGGTCAGATATTTGTTGTCTTAGAAAAGTAGGAAAAGAAATCATCAGGATGCTTTCGCTATAGGAGCCTGGACTGGACTGGCAATAGGAGCCTGGACTGGCAACTTTTCTTGATTTTTTTTTTTTTAATTTTTTTTATTTTTTAAACAAGGCCAAGAAGATTAGTTTAAAGGAGATGTATTTATTTTTTTCTTTGAGATCTGGCTTTCCTTGAATTGTGTAGTAGTCCTCTTGTCTGTGCTAACCCTACTCTAGTGCTAAGAGTAATTACTATGCCCAAATAAAGCGATTTCAATGCTTATTTCAGCTTCAGTGTGATCTAACAAAGTGATCTGTGTTAAAATGGCCTAAGTCTTCTCGTAACCATGAGACTTTTGTGTTGGTAGTAATTAACTATAATACACACTAGGAAGAAGATAGTGAGCACACTGTTGTCTAACTGGAAGTTTGACATAGATCTTGTTACTTTTCTTGATCTGCTTTTATACTTTGCATACATTGCTTAATTGTTTCAGGTTATATCGTATTCTAAATGTCTACGAAGGAAGGTGACTGAGAGACCCAAAAGCAGCCAGACAGTGCACAGGAATTAGAAACCCAGCTACTTGTAGGAAGTCTGCTAACCAATATACATGTCAGACACCCGAGACAGCTTCATGCATAGTGATACAGTTCTCAACTCACTGTGTTCATATTCATAGCACAGTCCCTAACAATAAAGCACTGCGAAGAGTGACACTGTCATATTAGTGGGAGTGTACATAAAAGGAAGGTGCTGTAACTATAGTGGATGACTCCATCCCTGACAAGTCTGTGACATAAGTAGTGGTGTATGTAACTTTGAGCTATGCAGCCTTCAAAGGTAGACTCTAAGATCTGTAAATACTCACGTCAGCTTCATGTTTTTACAGCTCTGTGTCATTGCAGAATGTGGAGAACTGAAGGAAGGGGATGACTGGGGAATATTCCCCAAAGATGGCTCTGGTGATAGTCATCCAGACTTCCCCGAGGATGCGGATATAGATGTAAAAGATGTGAGTACTTTCAGATAAATACATTTAATTACTTACGTGAATTAAAATATTTAGTACTAAAAGCTTGGTTAGTCTTGGTTATCATATGATAGAACCTTAGTGTTAAGTCACATTATTTACTAACACCCAACATATTTATGTCCTTTTATACAGGTAGATAAAATTTTATTAATATCTGAAGACTTAAAAAACATTGGAAATACTTTTTTCAAGTCTCAGAACTGGGAGATGGCTATTAAAAAATATGCAAAGGTTTTAAGGTAATAAAGCATTTTTAACAAGTTACTTTTTAATAAGTTACTTTTAGAATATATCGTTCATATTTAGCAAGTTATTTGTATAATAACAGCTGTTTTGAAAAAGTAACATTTCTTGCTGGGTGTGTGGTGCACTGGGGAGGCAGAGGCAGGTAGATTTTTGGGTTGGAGGAGGTCTAGAGAGAGCTAGCTCCAGGACAGCCCCAGGGCTACACAGAGACCCTGTTTCAAAACAACAAAGAGTAGGACATGGATTGCATACTTTTGACAAGTTCCTGTTGTTTGAGGTGGTCCCAGGCCCCTGGCCTGTTCGATAGGCACTCTGAGCTGTATTCCAGCTTCATTTTGATGTGTTGTATCAATACCTTAGACCCTGCTTTAGGATGCTATTATCTGGATCATCTTATTTTTGCTTTTCTATCTGGAATAAGCAGTTTCTCTAAGTCAATTCCTTTTGGAGAAAGGAAACTAGAAACTAAAGTTGTAGGAACCAGATCCTCAGCTCAGCTTCTAGGATCCTTTCAAGAGAGTTAGGTCAGTGTTTCATGGCTGGCAAAACAGGTCAGTGAGTAAAAACACTTACTAATCAAACCTGTGATCTAGACTTCCTAGAATCCATAGTAAAATAAGTAACTGACTCCCCAAAGCTGTCTTCTGACGTGCGCGCGCACACGCACGCGCGCACACACACACACACAAATCAACATTACATAGTTCTTTGCCTCTTCCCATTGAATTGTCCTAATATAGAAGTACTGGATCTAAGCATAATTATATTGGAAAGCATATAATACAAACCTGATTTGTACATAATTGGTATGGGAGATAATATTAGGTGTTAACTTTGGGGAAAGGTTGATGTAAAAATATCCTCTGGAGAAATAGGGGTAGGAATGTGCTTGGTGGAGGGTAAGCCTAGCAGGCTCTGGGTTTAATTTCTTGCATCTGAAGAAAAAGCAACATCAAAATATTGTGATCATTATATGCTGAAGAGGCAGTGTGGAGTTATATGTTGCTTTTATTAATGTTTTTTAGGTACGTGGATAGTTCAAAGGCTGCTATTGAGAAAGCAGATATACCCAGACTGCAACCTATAGCCTTAAGTTGTGTACTGAATATTGGTGCTTGTAAATTGAAGATGTCAAATTGGCAGGGGGCAATTGACAGTTGCTTGGAGGTAAGTCTGTGATTTCTTTTCTTTTTTCTTTCTTCTTTTTTTTTTTTGGCTTATTAAGTTAGAAAAAGACAATAGTAGTCTTTAATGTATTTTAATTGCCTAGCACCTAATGAGACTTGACAAAATGTGACTTAAGTCATCCTGTCTCTAGTTTGGATTGCCAGTTCTTTCTGTAAATTCATTAATTTTGCTTTTGTTTTTATTTCTCAAAGCATGTTTCTCTGCTTATTGATTTGTGTTTTTGAGCTAGGCATATGAACACAAGGCCTGGGATGATTAAGAATATAGGTATGAGTGTGACCCACACCTGTAATCCTGGCAGTGTGAAGGGAGAGGTGGGAAAATCAGAAAGTCATAGCCATCCTTTGCTACAAGAGAGACCCTGCCTCAAAAGAAAGACTAAATTACAGCATGTGTGTAGACATGCTTTCTTTTTTGCCAGTCTGCAGGGTTTTCTGCTTTGCTTTATGACTGAGATTGATCATAAAAAAAGTTTTGGCTTTTTTGAAACACGAGGGTCTTAATCCTTTAGGCTGACTTAAAACTAGGTATTCCTGCTTGGCTTTTCAAGTGCTGGACTTGGCTTATTTTCACTTTGTACCTTGGTGCATGTACAAGGGTCAGAAGACAACATTTGTGGAGTAGGTTCTCTCTTTCCACCCTTATGAGGATTCCAGAGATTGAGCCTAGGTTCAGGCTTTATCCATTGAGCCATCCTGTTGGCCAGTTTTATTTACTTTATTTTAAAGCCTGCATCATCCAAAAAAACTATGGATAGGACATAGTGGGCAGTTAGTTTCTATTTAGGGTCCAGACTAGTTACTATTAGAATACAGAAAGTCCTAATATAGGAGGCCATCCAGGGACACTGAATGGTACTTTGAAAAAAATTCCAGATTAAATGTTTTTTGCACATTATTCTTAGAGCATGTATCAGTGCTCAGCAAGAACTAAAGTAAGACCTGGATGTGCAGCTTAGTGGTATATAGTTAAGTACACAGAAATGTATGCACCTGCATTTAGAAGGAGCATGAATACAGGAGAGTGCAAAAGAGAAGGTACACTCTGGATCCCAGGAATTTCTGTAAGGCAGGTAATACTCCCTCTTGAAAAATTCTCAGTATTGCTTCTCTTTAGAGCTGTCATGCCAACAGAATACATTGCTTTAAAAATGTTTCAGGGGATAGACCTGTTAAAAGTTGTTAATGTTTATCATATAATTCCTCCCTCCCCCCTCAATGTCCTTAGGTTCTCAGATAAGCATGTAGACTCATTTTCCTCATTACCTATAAACATAGCTGGACACATATTTACATGGCATTTATGTGACTTTTGTACCCCTGGATTTCGGTTTTCAGGAGGTGGTAGACTGTCATTGAACCAATGACAGAATACCAGAAGATGACTATATTTAAACTTTTATTTAAAAAATTTTTTTCTTAAAGTTTGGGTCCACTTGGGCTAGAAACAGTGCTGAGAACAGCACTCTGGAGAACTGATAAGAAACTATCCTTCTTTCCCACATCCACTCATAGCCCTCTTCTGGTAAACCCCTTCCTCGTGCTAGCTGGCATGGGTGCACTAGCTCCAGTGAGTTGGAGCCAGTTGATAACAGGTACTTTTAGATATAAATACTGATTTTATAATTTTTCATAGGCTCTTGAAATGGACCCTTCGAATACTAAAGCACTATACCGAAAAGCGCAAGGATGGCAAGGATTAAAAGAATACGATCAAGCATTGGTAAATTTTGTTATTATTATTTTATAATAATCATCTTAAAAGTCTTAATGTCTAACGTTTCTTAAATTCTCTTCCCCATTGAAGGCTGATCTTAAGAAGGCACAGGAGATAGCCCCAGGAGATAAAGGTAAATTACAAGGTGTTTTTTGTTTTTTTGTTTTTTTTGTTTTTTTTCAAGATTTTGTAGTAACACTTCATTTTGTATATCAGAAGTGGATATTCATGAGCCAATGTACACTTTAACCTTGACAGATATTTTTGCTCACATATTATAGAGTGCCTCTTATTGGGCCAGGCACCAATTATATAGTAAATAGACAAATACCCAAGGTCCCTGCCTTATACAGAACTTACATTCTAATTCTGCTCAAAAATTTACTAGTTTTTAGATAAGACTTTGTACTGCTTCTGTGAACCTCGTTTAGGTACAGATTCTATTACATTGGTGCTAGTCAAAAGGTCAACAGTAAGAAAGTACTCATTGTGATTTTAAAATTCGGGAATTCCTTCCTCAAGCTGAATGTGGCTGTGACCAAACATTCTCTGTATTGGAAATGTTGCAGAGTAGCTAAGATAGAAAGATAATGCAGATAAAGTGACCGTAGGTCTAAATATTACTGCTAAAAAATGCACCCATGACAAGGAAGAGTTACTGTCACTAAGTTGTTGGTCTTTTTTTCTAGTTTTTTTTAGATGTTTTGAAAATTAATTGTTTCCCTTTTTCCCCGCAGCTATCCAGGCAGAATTGCTTAAAGTCAAACAAATGATAAAGGCACAGAAAGATAAAGAGAAGGCTGTGTATGCAAAAATGTTTGCTTAATAAGGACTAAACTCTCCTTAACTATTAAACATTGATTATAAAAAGGACAATGTATATTACTGTCCACACGATCCCTGATGTGTTCCCCTTGATCTTTGTCATTGTTTACATAGCAGTGCTGACATAGGTTCCTTCTTAATAAAGTGTTGGCGAAATACAGTGAATCTCATTTTAAAATGTCTCTGTCTGCATTTTCACCAAGAGTGGTATCTGGCCAGTGTTTTAAACTCTTAACTCCCACTAAGTTTTAGGCTTCGTGGACCATCTAGCCCAGTAGTTCTCAACCTGTGCAACTACTGGAAAAGGTAGTTTTATATTTTGGTTCAGAACAGTAGCAAAATTACAGTCATAAAGTAGCAACAAAATATTTATGTTTGGGGGTCACCACGTGAAGAACTGTACTAAAAGGTTTCAGCACTAGGAAGGTTGAGAACCACTGTTGTAACCTGTCACATTTATGTGTATAAACCAGTGGGCATAGCTACGTTTCAATAAAACTGTAAGTGTTGAGCACTGGATGTCTCTTCCTGGTCTAGTATACACATGTGTTTTTATACTTGAAGATTTTAAGTTTTGCAAGACAAATAGATTGTAGAAGCCTAGTAGTACATGCTGCTGTTGGTACTGCAAGGTAAGTAGATGCTCCATTTACTTATAAAGTTTTATTTATGACAAATATTTCATGATTTTGTGGGACAACTTTAGATACAAAGTTTTTTACTTCAATAATGTTTGAAGGACACTTGTTCAGAAGTTATCTAAACATACAGGAAGTTAGTTTGGCATACGTATACAGTTTATAGAGACTGGCTCTCAAATATGCCAGTAAATGAAGGCACTTGTGCTTTACATGCCATTGTAAGCCGGTCCTCCTCCACCTTCTGGGACCACCCAGTTGATATTTTGACTTGGGTCTTTTATATCACATGTTTTACAATGCACACAGTTCTGAGCATTTATCTGTAATCGAAATCCATCACCTTGTTCCAAAGGAACAAATTCATAAACTCCTGTAAAAAAATTCATATATATATACATCAAAAGGAAATAATAAAAAAGTGAGTGGAAATTAAAATCTTAGAACTAAACCTTTGAGTGCAAATTCATAAACTCCTGTAAATTACATATATTTTTGTTGCATATATGTATATGTGCAACAAAAGGCAAATAATGAAAAAGTGAGTGGAAAGTAAAATTTAAGAACTAGACCTTTGAGGCTTTCATGTTTACTCCCAGAGACCATCTGATCTTGGTGTATGTTGATGCTATTATTATAAACTAATCACACAAAAGAAGTACAGCAGTATTCTCTGGGTTAATTAGCAAACAGATTGTCTCCAGTCCTGACAGCTAACAGTGCACTGTAACTTTTTAGATAGGGTCTTATTCTTGAATAGTTTTATTTACCTTCTAATCCTACTTGAACATACAGTAATTATCATATACCTGAGTACCGGAGTAATTATTCTACCATATTATTTTAGTTCTTGTTCTCATTAATTTTAACTGAAAGCTCTTAGCACTTAAGGGGTTCAGTACTTAAAGCTTAGTGTTAGTCATGTTGAACTCAGTGTGGTCATAATGCCTATACATGTAAACAGAAACTGTCACTTCAGAGCAGCTTTTAAAAAGACCCACGAACAGGAACAGGTATTTGTTTTCTATAGTTCGTTTTTCTGAGGGTAGACATGAAAGCAGTTTGGAGATGGGTTTTCCAAAGTAGATATAAGCAAAATCCCCACTATTTTATCATTGTTACTCAGGACATTCAAGAAGAGTTTCGCTAAGGGTGTGTGTGTGTGTTTTAATGGTCTCTTTGTAATGGAAAGGGAGCATCTTGAACTGGGAAACTGTTTAGGAACAGAAAGAAATTGTTACTCACCTGCAGGGCAGAATCGCTGCTCGGGCCCATCATATATTGACAGATTTCTATTAACAGGTATGCTGTCATCCTTTAAGGTTAAATGTGCAGGCTGGTCATGTTCATGATTAGTACCACTCAAAGCCACAGAGGATAAGAGGTCAAAACTGATCTGTCCATCAGGTTTTGGATACTCAATGGGTGTACAGTCCTTGGCTGGTTTGAGCTGGTCAGAGTCTGAGCCTTGAGCAATTATGAGGAAGATGTTTAATAAAGTAACAGTTACTTTCCAGGACTCACCTTTTTTTTTTTTTTTTTTTAAATTGGTGATTTAGGCAGCTCATGCTAATAGTCTTTTACCATTGAACTTCATTCTTAGTCCATCAATCAGACAATCTTGTTATGTAGTCCAGACTGGCCTTGAACTTAACTGTCTTGCCTTTACCTCCCCATGCCTGGCCTGACTTAAAATACCCCTCCCCCTCAATACCCAAACAACCAAGTCTACTGTGACAAGCAAGGTTAAGTGTTAAGAGGGGGAGATGAACTGAATCAAAGTGTTTGCTGGTGAGCAGCCATGTAGCCTGACCTCCCCTTCTACAAAAAGGAAAATAAAAAAGACGCTATAACAAGGTTATACTCTATTAATAAGTGTACCCTACACATACATTTTTCCTTATGCAGGTACTTAAGATCAATACTAGCATTAAGTCTATTTGAATTACCTTTATGTTTTAGAGTCCACGGCTCCATTCCTCTAAATATCCAGTAAAATATTCCAGTGTAAATCATCCCTCCATATACTCCCAGTATCCCATGGCAGGATGGCCTTATATTTCGAACAGCATGTAGCTCTTTCCATACCCAGGATTGCTTCAAATTGTCCTCATACTCAGTTACATGGAGTCCTTTTATGAAAAACATAAGAAATACTAAGTGAAACAGATGGTGACGCTTACTTTTAGAAACATGGTCATGTGAACCCATGTAGAATCACACAAATGTCATCTTTCAAAAAGAAAGGTGTGTGTGTGTGTGTGTGTGTGTGTGTGTGTGTGTGTCTTGATCTGCCTGTCTTTGGCTGGCACTGAGGCTTTGTGCAGAGTAGGCAAGTATACCTTAAGCTTTATACTGGAAGCATAAAAAATTGGTTTGAAAAAGGGAACTTAATACAAGTTCAGGCTTAGGTATAAACGTGCTTTACAAAGAAACAAAGCTATCACTAAACTTACTGTGAGTGGAATCAGGACACGATTCCACTCACAAAAGTTTTCCCTGCAAGAATTCTCTTTTGAGGTCCCAATGGACTCACCCCTTGTACCTGACTCTGACAGGATGGTTGCAGACATAACTGGGGTCTTGTGGAATAGAGTGGGTCCCTAATCTATTAGACATGTCCACTTTACAAGAGACAAGACAGGTGATGGTCAGGTGAAGACAGGCAGAGAATGAGGAAAGAAGGTATAAATCAAGCTGAGATGGGTGTGGGAAATAGAGGCCTGAGAGAGCATGCTCCTTGATTTCGAATCCCCTGCTGCAGAACTTGTAAAGAAAAACGTGTTTAAAGTTACCTAGTTTGTTAAGAGTGTAACTAAGAAATCTGTCTTTTGGGGTATGGGATGCAGATGCTAGGTAAATCTAGTGCTTCATGAACACTGGGCAAGTGCTACTGTCTAGTATAGTGCATTTAATCTTTAAGGGGAGCAAGTGATTCTTAACTGACTTGCACAGCTATAGTGTACTCATATACATAAAGTATCTAAATAAATCTTTAGAAAAAAATTCTGTCTTAGTAGTTCTTTCATATAGGAATTTCTCACCTGTCGTATTTGACTGGAGATTTTCACTAGTTAGTTGCTTAAAAATGGATTCTGCTGCCAAGCTTCCACTTTTCATTGCTGTGTGGGTACCTTTGATCTTAGGAACATTCATGAAACCAGGACTACAACCAATTAGTAAGCCACCAGGAAAAGTGAGTTTTGGTATGGACTGAAAAGAAGATTCAGAATAATACATTTGTCAGCTCAAATGAGGCCAAAACAAACAAATACTCCAAACCTAAAACTGTAGAGCAAAGAATAAGCACTGAGGAGGAGTGCAGCAAGGAAAGGGAGCACAACCAGGGCAGGGTTAGGACTATGGCCAGTTTTCTATTTCTTTTCTTCCTATCCCATGGCTGACCTCTATGGGACAGAATTATGAAAACAATATATTTAACATGCTTTTATTTATGTGTATCTGTCACAGTGCAAACATTTCCTAAGTTTGGGTGAAAATTGTAACTTCCTTTACATGTATTTTGGGAAATGATTCCGTATCTTTATTTTAGTCTGATACGTAGAGGTGAAGAATATACTCTAATGCCATTACAGTGTCTAGGTGCTACTCTAAGCAAACAGAACTTTCAATTTCTGAGAAAACAACCAATGTAAGAAAGGTACCGGTGTATTCAGTTAGCCAACAGTGGTATATTGTCTAAGGAGCAGGAACTGAACTAAGGACTGCATGGGAACACGCACTCCAGGGTTGGTCTTTGTCATTTTCACTTTTTCTTCTCTAGGGGCTTTCTAAATTCAGCCATAGACAGGCCTTCGTTGAGAGGGTGATGGAGTGGTATAGTTTGGTGCTGGTTGAGACAAAAAACTTTGCCATCAGCTGCAAATGAGGCATGGAGAAGGCTTTGTGGTCACAGTTCCCACCAATGGTAGAATTCTAGAGCAAGAAGCAAAACCTGAGGGCAGAAGGAATCAGAAAAAGATCATGCCTGGGTTGCTGAGGTAGTTCAGTGGTAAAGCTTGCTGTTGGGCTGGATGACAGAGTTCAATCCTCAGAATCCACAGAGTGGAAGGAGTGAACTGACTCCCATTAGTTGTCCTCTGACCTCATGCATGTATGCATGTGAACTCGAACACCTATCTGAATGACCTTGTTTATAATGATACCACATTGACTTCCCTTAACTTTGTGAATTATTGTTATAGTAACAGTGTCTTCAAAGCTTTAAAGTGCCCTCTATGTTACTTTTCTAATAGATTAAAGAAAACTAAACACCAGTTTCTAAAATAGTTTGATAATCTAGACCATTAGAGGCAGAAGGGATCATGTTTTAAATATGATCTTGAAAGCAGAGTGCTGTCTTCGTCCAGGTCATTTGGTCTAATGTTTAAAGCTGCTTTTCAGATTACCTTACCTGTCTGACTGATACTTTTCATAATTACTAACAGCTTTTTTCTGGCCCCTTAGTTCTTATTTTATCATTTAACATATACTCAACAAAATAATCACTTTAAAATATTTGAGTGTATACT